GCCTGCCCCGCCCCGCCCTGGCGCGGGGGGCCGGGGGCCGTAAGCTGTAGGAAGAAGGAAGGCAGGGCCCTCCGCCCGAGGTTGGAGCACCCCAGTCGGAAAGGGCCCGAAGGCCCAGACCCACATGGCTGCGGGCAGGTCGCGGCTGGCCGGCTCTGACCCGGAAGGGGCCGAATGCCACCTGGGGAGCTGTCCAGTTTCCTTTCCCTGAGGGCTGCCGCAAAAAAACCAAACAAACGCCCTCTGGAAGCCACAATGTATCGCCTAGTCTTTGTATTATGCCGCACAATAATTAAACACAATTAATATTTTGCCCATAGAAATTGTGGGAACTAAGGGCCTTCACACAGTGAGCTGTAATCCAGCTTTTACTGTTGGTGAGGTAATAACCTCAGGGTTTAGGGCGCTAATGGTGAGGACTATAAAAATGACCTGTTCGTGTTACAAGAGGATTCCTTTCCTTTTTATGAACAAGCGCCTCCAGACCTACTCTAACTGTCCAGCTGGACAGCACCACATGGGCGTCCACAGGCAATTCAAAAGACGGGACAAAATCATTCCTTAACCTTTGCCCCATGTCACCTGTTACGCACGCGCACAAACGCACAAACACACATGCCATCCCTGTGCTTCGAGTCACTTAATGGCATCAGCCTCTTTACATTTCTCAGACCAGAAACCTCAAAGTCCTATTCAAATCCTCCTTCTTCTCCCTCACTCATCACACCATTTAGTAACAAATTCTATTGCGTCTGTAATTGATTGTCTGTCTCATCTCTTAAATTGGAGTCCTCCCTCTCCTCCCTTCCACAGTATCTGTCTGGACCTTTGCAATACTCTCTTAACTTTTCTTATTTCCATCTCTCTCTCCTCCATTCTACCTCCTGCTGCCGGTTTTCCTCCTAAGACAGACATCGATGATAAGGCTGCTACGATAATCTTTACACATCTTTATTATATTAAGATCCAACTCCTCGGCCTAGCATTTAAGGCCCTCCCCACTAGATTCTCTCCCTATTTTGCCAGGCCCTCTGTCTTATCTTGTTGAAATGAAGCTCTCAAAACAATAATGTCAAACTATTAATCTTTTCATGAGAACTTCTTGTAGCTTTCATTTTGTATGTAGGGAGAACTGAGGCATAGAGACGTTAAGTTACTGCCCAGACAAGGGTTATTCTCCAAGTGGGTGGGGGTGGCTTTATTTTTTGTCTTTTGTTTCTTGTTTTCCAGTGCATTGTAATAACCACTGGAGTAGTGTTTTTCACTGGGAGTCATGAGGCATCATGCGGTGTCACTGTAGTGTGATGAAGTGTCAGGAGGAATGTTCTGGTAATTTGTTGCTGATGAAAAGTGCCAATATTTCCCATTATTTCCTATTTTGTTTTTGGATTGAAAGTAATGCCTGTAGAGCTCTGCTTCCTAGATGGAGAGAGGAGTGAAGCTACAATTAATAAGCAGGATTTGCATACAACTGATAGGAGGGGAAGTGTGTCCTATGGACAAAGGTTGAGAAGTGCCACCTAGGACCACCTAAATGTCTCTGATCATTAACCAAGGGTTTCAACATTTAAGCCAAGTCCGGAAACATTGTACAGAAACACTCAAATTATCAAATGTCAAAACTTAGAAATCACTAGTTAAAAACAAGTTTTAAAATATGAGTAGCCAAATAAAATTATCAACAAAGGCATTTAGTAATTACTGCAGTTAAAATCAATGGCTGAAAACTCACATGAATAGAGAACCCAACCTTGAAATAATAAAGTTATTCATTAATACCTGAGCCTGTCTATCTGGGTAAAGGTCTCAAACTATATTTTGTAAATGATAAGAAGGAATTATCAGTAACGGATACTAACAACTATTAAAAAGGCAGTTTCAGATTTAAGGAATATCAAAGGAAAAGAAATTAAAACAAGCTCACACAACAGATTTTTCTGCTACTTATAAGAAAAATCAAGAAGATATTAAAACTGAACCACTTCTCTAGTACTTTTTTTTTTAAGATTTATTTATTTTAGAGAGAGAGACACACACATAAGTGGGAGTGACAGAGGAAGAGAAAATCCCAAGGAAGCTCCACACCAAGCATGGAGCCTGACATGGGGTTTGATCCGAGGACCCTGAGATCATGACCTGAGCTGAAACCAAGAGTCAGATGCTTAACCGACTGTGCCACCCAGAAGCCCCTTCCCTAGTACCTTTAACCAAATAATTGATTTTTACCTTGTTTTAATAGATTTTTATGAAATTGCCTACTTCTATATAAATTTCATGAGCAAATTGTGTTGAATCACAATCTGATTATTTCATAGATTTAGCTACATGAAAATAAAATACTACAATTGGGAGTAGATACCCAATAGTGTGCTTCAAAAACAAATGTATTGGAAAATTTTAGAGAAAAGTAAACATTTAGAGAATAATAAATAAGTCACTTTTAAGTTTTGAAAATCAAAAAATGTGTTTGCTTTGAACATTTTTGTCAAATTAAAACCAAGTTTTTTTCTAGAAGAAAAAATTAAAAAATATGAAATGGTGATATTTAGTTAGATTTAGAAGAAAACTGTTTAATTCCTTTTATCATGTTCTGATCAAAGAAGGTTTCACCAAAATGTATTTTTACCAAATCCTCAGTTCCTCAAATTCTAGATCTTTTTTTTTTTTTTTTTTGAGAGAGAGAGAGAAACAGCATGAGAGGGGATAGAGTCAGAAGGAGAAGCAGGCTCCCTGCCGAGCCGGGAGCCCGATGTGGGACTCGATCCCAGGACTCCGGGATCATGACCTGAGCCGAAGGCAGTCACTTAACCAACTGAGCCACCCAGGCGCCCCTCTAGATCATTTTTTGTTTTGGACAACCTTTGGGTCCTAATTCTTCCCTCCTCCCTGGGAGTTATGTTACAACAAAATTCTCTACAGGAAGATAGCTGAACTCTGTTTTTTCCAATTATGTCAATCAGGATGTGTTTACCTGTATGTAACAGAAAACATCAATTTGAATAAACTGAGCAGTATAGAAATTTATGCTCTCACAACAAAAAATCTAAAAATAAGGAGGGCGCCTGGGTGGCTCAGTTGGTTAAGCAACTGCCTTCAGCTCAGGTCATGATCCTGGAGTCCCGGGATCGAGTCCCGCATTGGGCTCCCTGCTCAGCGAGGAGCCTGCTTCTCCCTCTGACCCTCCCCCCTCTCATGTACTCTCTCTCATTCTTGCTTTCTCAAATAAATAAATAAATCTTTAAAAAAAAATCTAGAAATAAGGAGTCTCTAGGCATAGTATAGATCTTCCTCACTTTATGACGGTGTTACAGCCTGATAAACCCATCATAAGTTGAAAATGTCATAATTGAAAATGCATTTAATACACTTAACTTAGGGCGCCTGGGTGGCTCAGTTGGTTAAGCGACTGCCTTTGGCTCAGGTCATGATCCTGGAGTCCCCGGATCGAGCCCCGCATCGGGCTCCCTGCTCTGCAGGGAGTCTGCTTCTCCCTCTGACCCTCCCCCCTCTCATGTGCTCTCTCACTCTCTCTCATTCTCTCTCTCAAATAAATAAATAAAATCTTTAAAAAAAAATACACTTAACTTATTTAACATCATAGCTTAGCCTGGCCCACCTTAAACATGCTCAGAACACTTATATTAGCCTACGGTTGGGCAAAATCATCTAGCACAAAGCCTATTGTACAGTAAGTGTTGAAAATCTCATGTATTCATTGAATTCGGTACTGAAAGTGAAAAACAGAATGGTTGCATGGGTACAGAATGGTTGTAAGTGTATTGGTTGTTTACCTTTGTGATTGCATGGCCAACTGGGAGCTGTGGTTCATTGCCAATGTCTAGCAATAGTAGCTCTGGCAAAATGAATCACTTATAATCCAGCACTTGGAGATAATCACTGTTCATATTTTGTATAAATATTTTGCATAAATAAGCCTTTAAATGTTTTCCCATGCATATGCCTCATCTAGTATTTTTTAGATTTTATTTATTTATTTATTTAAAGAGAGAGAGAGATTGAGTGTGCATGAATGGGGAGCAGGTGCAGAGGCAGAGAGAGAGAGAATCTCAAGCAGACCATGCTGAGCAAGGAGCCCAACTCGGGGCTTGATCTCACAACCCTGAGATCATGACCTGAGCCCAAATCAAGAGTTGGACCCTTAACCTACTGACTCATCCAGGTGCCCCCCCTCATCTACTATTTTTTTTAAAGACTTATTTATTTATTTGAGAGAGAGAGAGAACGCGGTGGGGAGGGTCAGAGGGAGAGGGAGAGAGGATGTCAGGCAGACTCGGCAGTGAGTGCAGAGCCAGACGCAGGGCTCAATCCCAGGACCCCGAGGTCACAACCCGAGCAAAAACCAAGAGTCAGATGCTCAACTGACTGTGCCACCCAAGTGCCCCCTCATCTAGTATTTTTATTGACATAATCAAGATCATGTTTTATAATATTACATCATATTATTAGATATATTTCTATTCTTCAGCATTAATTTTAATAACTGTATAATATTCTATCAGCTAGATGTATCAATGCATTTAACCAAACCCCATTGTTTGAAATTGACATTGTTTGTATTTTGGTTTTTTACTTGAAAACAAAAAAGTATAAAACACATCGTTTTTTTTAAATTTCTTTTTTTTAACATTTAAAAAATTTAAATTCTTTTAATTAACATATAATGTATTATTGGTTTCCGAGATACAGGCCTGTGATTCATCAGTCTTATGTAATACCCAGTGTTCATTACATCACATGCCCTCCTTAATGTCCATCACCCAGTTACCCCATCCCTGCATCCCCCTC